CTTTCGTATATCGCTTTTGTCTCCATCGTTGTACGTAACCGTCTTTAGCTGGCTGGGTGAGTTTTAGTTTGATTCTGGGGTGTTCTAGTTGCGCCCGTAGCAGTTCCACTGGCCCCTTTTGCAGTGGTATCTGTAGGGCGAAGTGTATCTGTTTCATGAACCGTTCGCATGTGCTTTGTAAGGGCATCCGAACGCGTGAAGCTACGATCGCATTCTATAATTTTGGGGGGGGGGGGGGGGGGGGGGGGGTTGTCAGGTACATTGAAAATTTGGCAATTCTGATCAGGTGTGTATATCCTCTAGGGTTAAAGAAAAAGGGACGCACCTGGCAGAGTGCAATAGAAAGGCTTCTCCTTGGTATGACTCCTCACGTGCGCTCGCAATGCGTATCCGCTGGCATGAGTCTGGCCTTTCCGCGCACAATCGCTCCATTCACATAGGTATTTCTTTTGTCGAGATCCGATGTGATCTTCATGTATATGTTTTACAAGCGCATCCATGTTCCCTAGATCATTCGCATCACATCCTTCCCATTGGCAAACGGTGACTTGGTCCTTCCCCTGGCCACTGTAGTCGTCTTCAACGCCGCCGCCGATGAGAGCAAGTGTCAGAGGCGAGTTTGGCAGCTCCCCGGAGCTATCGGAAGAGATCGAGGTAGAAGGGGATGCTGGGGGTATATCTTCGAGAACTGATGAGATAGGGGTATGGCGATCCCAAGAGGAGATGCCAGTTCGACGGCGCTTTGAAGGAGGCATTTGTGGCGTAGAGACAGGAGAGTGAGGATGGTCGTCAAACTTCATGTCCTCTGCAAACTCCTCTGAAGCAAGAGAGGAGAGAGGGGAGCCGGGAGAGTCAGCCATTGAGAGGACCAGGGATGTAATGTGTTAATTCACTTTTCAAAAGAGGTGAATGGAATTATCTAGGCACAAGCGCAACAACAACTGCAATCTGTTTCTTGGCCATTTTGGACAATGAATATCTGATGAAACTTGGATGGGTCCGACATCACGTGCAACGTGCCGAGCTATAAACTGTTGGGGGATTGGATTGGATTGGGTGATTCGTACCCTCTATATACCACCACGGCGCTGGTGGTGATTGAGCTCTTTTGCCCTAGTGGCATAATATAAATGCATACAATCTAATAGGAATACCACCTCGAGTGACGATGAGTGCCGTCAGGCTAACAGAACTGCATTGGTGTTTCGACTTCATTTTTTTGGCATTCTGAATGTCGAATGTGAAACGATGCGTCGTTCATTTTTTACATCTCTCGATTTAGATAGGCATCTTTCGCGTTTGTTTTCAGGCCTTGACTCCGAACGAAATCATGTCCCGTGTGTGAGCTTTGTATTTTGCGCTGGTCCATGACATGCGACTTACAAATGGACGTCTTCCACTGCGACAATCTTCATATTGAAAAGGCGAGAGGAGAAGAAGGCTGCTGCGGCGACTGAGAATTGATGACCCTTGCTGTCTCTGAAATGCAGGGAGTGTGCTTCTGAGCAACTAGGTAAAAAAACCTTCCTTGATTCGAAAGTGGAAAATGACTTGGAGAAAGTACAGTTCAGAATACAAAGCCACGATTTTTTTTTTCGGACCTCTAAGTATGCATTCATTACACCAACGCTGTCTGATTATACATTTCTAGGAGCAAATCCAACCAAATCCGTTAAGATGACAGACACCTGAATCAAGTGTTTGAAGAATTATTCAATCTTGGAAAGCATAACCGCAATTCACAAAAGCAAAAGAAAACAAAAGAAATAAGAAAAAAACCGAAAATGCAAATGGAATTAATCTAACACCGCCCCGCTCCTCCCCCAAGTTCGTTGAAATATCTCCTCTAGCGACCAATTCCCCTACTCCTTCCCGCATACGATGACAGAACCCTTCATGTCAATGGGGTTGGCAATTTTATGCTCGCCGTCCAAATCGTCATAGGTGTTGCATTCATCAATTTCCGCGATTATTTGGTCGTTTTTGTCTGTAATTTGGCAGAGGCCACCACGAGCAAGCCTGGTCAGCTGGACGCTTGAGGCGAGAAATTTTCCATCGGAAATGAGGGGCCCTGTTCCGAACAGCTGGGCAACATCTCGCCTTCGGTTGTCAAGTGGAATCGTCTTGGAAACGGAACGGCCCGTTCTATTGTTTACAATCTGGACTTTGACTTCGCTGTTGCTGCGACGTGAAGGAGCAGCAGAGGTGAAAACGGTGAGAAGAGATAGGACAATGACGAAGGAAATGTGCATTTTGTAAGTTGAGGTATGTGCGTTTCTTGTCAGTTGAGTGTATAGCGTTTGGAAGGAGGTGGACGTTTGAGCCTAGAAGATATAGGCTAGCAATATTGTTGAGAGGGGATTTCTTCGGCGTTGAGGTGGAGATTTTTGTTCTGTGATTATTATATCTGATTCTAAAGCAGGTGTACTATTGCTTTTAAGTCTTTCTCTCAACGGCTCCATGTGGTTGAAGGGGCGCCAACAAATAAGTGCCATCATCTTTCGGGGCATTTTCGAAACTGTACAGCCTTTGGCATATCGCTATCGACTGGGATGCAATGCAAGACATTACCAATCCTGGAGGGATTACGCCAGTAAAATCGAGAGCCTTATCAACAGCATGGATTTCCTTACGGTAACATTCGGTGGCGTTTTAATTAAAAAAATTAAATAAAAATAACAAAAGATACACAGTTGGAACGTTTACAATGGTGTTTTGTGCAAAATTTGGTGTTTTTGGATCTCTCTCTTCAAACACGACATGATTTGCGATCGAGTTTTGCGCGATTCCTTCGATACACTAGCTCCGTGCAGCTGGTGGATATCTCTTTCAGCAGCTACAGAATTGGGCTGTGTGGTAATTCTCAACCAATCCATTCCTCGCTTTTGATTAATGAACAGGAACCAGGAGTCTCGCCTGGTAGGCGCCGGTAACAAGGTTTTCTGGAGTGATAAATGTCCTCATTCTCATCCCATGCATCTTATTATACCAATATCTCTACACGCTTCCACCAGCTTATTTGTCTTGGAATGTTAGATATCAGGCGATTAAGCAAATTATTCGAGGATTGAATCAACAATGAATGTAGTCATTGGTCATCTTTCCGTATGCAAATTGTGGCATGTGGGTTTTGCGTGATTGAAAAAAAAAGGAAATCTTTTTGATGGAGGCGACTGAAATGTCTATTTTTGGGCACATCTACAAAATAAAGTTAAAGTTGGTTTCCCTGCAACCTCAAGGTTCACAGGCTTGTTACTACCATCATAAAAGCTCAAGGCGTGGGCTTGGTGTTCTCAAGGCGAAAGCCCAGCTGGTCAATCATGCTGATTAGTTATCTCAGCATGCTCAGCCTCTCTTCTTGATATTTTCAGATTAGCACAATCAACCAAACTTCTTTAGACTTCTGCCAAGTCCTGCTAACTTCTGAATCGATCGATGACTCCACACATAGACTGGCTGCTGGGACTAAGAATTTCATGTTTGGTTTGGTTTGGTTTGATCCCAGTCCATTTCCTGGTGTAATTTCTAGTGGGATCAGGATGAGAATGAGAGTGTAAAAGGACCAGATTTTGACAGAACATGACTATCTGAGATTAAAAAATCTTGATATTTCATGTAGTTAAAGTGACTCATTATCAAAAATAAGAACATGATCTGAGATTGATTATGATTTTAATTGAAATTTAGTTCCATTCTGATGATTATATAATACATCAATCTGATGATATGATTGGTGGAGATATTACCTCTATTCAATGGCTTGATGCTGTCAGCAGTCAATCTACAGTACTTACCGCAGCGAATCTATCTATCACTACTAGTTCAAAATAGGACTAGAGCATAAATACGCTAAACTTCTTTTGATAGGTAACGATTTTTGGTAACACTAATAGAGTATTATAGTAAATCATGTCCATTT